GCCATCTTACAATGCTGTGATTGCAGCCATTCCCCAACTCTGTGTGAATGGTACTCATGGCCATTGATCAGTGATCTTTGATCAGTGGTTGTTGATCAATGGTCATGAGAATTTGCATAATCAAGATGAAGGAACTGACCTCCCAGTGGGCTTCAGTGGGCTGGTTTCAGTCATTATGCAAATGTACTAGTTATAAGGTTGGGGAAACTTGCAGTCAGTTGAGACTGAAGAAGTCACTTGGATGAGTGACGAAACGTTTCTCCCACTGAAAACGCTACATCCACATGAACAGAATCAACTTTTGGAGATTTACTTACCTGGATGATTGAGAATGCATCAAGACATCTCTGCAATCTATATAACCAGCTTATTTCACAGAAGCTAAATTCCTTTATCAAAATTTGTTTACCTCACCAATGAATAAACAAAATACAAATGGAAAAAACTGGTGTTAAAACAACTTTAAATTTGTAAACTCACCATCTGTTTCTGGAAGTTCCCTGTATCCAACATCATTCTTGTCTACAGGTACAACAATGCCCGCGCCGTGGAATGTCTTTGTTACGACCTATAGTGTGTAAAAAGTTTTCAAGCATCAACTTTAAGAACACTTTTTTTTTTCATATCTATACATTTAATGCTTTTCAAGCAGCATCACTGTCTTGTAAATGTGGAACAGTCAGAGCTACCAGAACTTTTTCTGTAAATGAAATTGGACTTGATCTTTTATTAAGATGTCTCGGGGATTAAATGTGTACATCAATGTCTTTAAAGAAGAAAGTGGAGTTTCACTCATCCGGTCCACTTAAGATCAAAGTGGGCTATATGCGACCCTAAATGCAAAATGAGTTTGACATCCCTGATTTAATGGGTATTACAAGAGAGGTCTTGGTAATTTTTTTTGTTGGCGTGTGCATTTTACCTTCTTGTCTCTCTGCTTCATGTCTTTGGTCTTCTGCTCCAGAGAAAAGCCCAGAGTCTGTGCTTTGTCTCTCAGCTTTGCCTCCAAGGTTTCCAACGCCTCATCCCCAGTTTTCTTACTGCCCCTCTCTTTCCTCTTCCTCAGCAGATACAGGCTGATGGAAGTAAGAACAGCAAATTACAAGTTTATTTCTGTAAGCATCAAGTTATT